TGCAGTTGTAATTGCAGTAACAGGTTCTGTTGCATTGTCATTTGTAGGTGCATGTGCAAATGCAGTTGAAATTGTAGTTACATATGCATGTGCAGCTGAATTACCAGCTGTAGTTACAGTTGCAGTTGCAGTAGCTGCTGCATGTGCAGGTTGAGGTACATTTGCAGTTGCAGGGGCAGTCGACATAGTAGTTGTTTGCCCCGTTGCAGTTTCAGTTACTGTTGCATGGTCGGATGAAGGTGCACGTGCAATTGCAGTTGTAATTGCAGTAGCGGTTAAAGTTGTAGGATCATGTACAGTTGTAAGTACAGTAACAGTTGCAGATGCCTGTGCTGTTGCAGTAGCATGTGTTGTTGCAGTTGCAGTTGCTGTTGCAGTTACATTTGCAGTAGCATGTGCAGTTGAAGTTGTAGTTGTCTATGCATGTTCAACTGCTAATATATTTGCACATGCAGTTGAAGTTGTATTTGCTGGTAAAGATGCAAATGCAGTTGCATTTGCAGTAGTTGTTTTAGTGGCAGGTGAAGTTGCAGTCGCAGTTGCTGTGGCATGTATTGGTGATGATTTAGTCGCAGTTGCATGTGCAGTAGCAGTTACAGTAGCCGTCGCATGTTCATTTAGAGGTGCATTTGCTGTTGCAGTTGCAGTTGTTGATGCATGTGCATTTTAAAGTTTTTTTGCAGTTGCTGTAGCTGTTCTATGTGCAGATGTTAGTTAATGTGCATTTGCAATAGCAGTTTTATTAGCAATTGCAGTAGCGGTTGCCGATGCATTTAATACTGCTGGTAAATGTGCAGATACAATTGTAAATGAATTTGCAGTTCTATGTAATGTTGCAGGTAAAGATGTAGTTGCAGTAGCATTTACAGTAGTAGTAGCAAATACAGTTGCAAGTAACGCAACAGTTTCAGTTGCATGTGCTTTTTGTGATGCAATCGCATTAGCAAGTGCAGTAGCAGTTGCTGCTGCCGTAACATGTTCGTTTGCCGGTGCATTTGCAGTTGCAGTTGCAGTTGCCGATGCATGTGAAATTGCGGGTTCTGTTGCAGGATCAGTTGCTGTTCTGTGTGCAGTTGCAGATGAATGTGCATTTGCAAGTACTTTTGCAGTAGCAGTTGCATTTGCTGGAGCAGTTTTAGTTGCCGTTTCATGGTCAATTGCCGGTGCATTTGCAGTTGTAGTAGCAGTTGTAGTTGCAGTTTCAGCTGCTGTGGCATAAGCAGTTGCAGATGCATGTGCTGTTGCAGTTGCAGTTACATGTTCTGTTGCTGTAGCATTTATTTTTACCGTTGCTAATGTAGTGGCATTTTAATTTGCCGGTGCATTAGCAATTGGATTTGCAGTGGCAGTTGCTGTTGCATGTGCAGTTGCAGATGCATTTGCAGTTTCAGCTGCAGTTTTGTGTACGGTGCAAGTATTGTAGCAGTTGCAGTTGCATGTGCTATTACAGTAGCATGTGTTGTTGCCGTACAGTTGCCGGGGCATGTGCAGTTGCAGTTGCAGTTGCAGTTGCAGCAGCAGTTGCAGTTGTTGTTGCATGTGCAGTTGCAAGTGCAGTAGCTGTTGCAGTTGCATTAGCTGTTGCAGTTTTATTTGCTGACGCATGTGCATTTGCAGTAGCAGTTTTATTTGCTGTGGAATATGCAGTTGCAGTATCAGTTTTAGTGGCATTTGCAGTTCCTGGGGTAATTGTTGTTTCATTTGACGTAGCAGTTTCTGTTAACGTAGCATGTGCAGTTGCAGGCTGTTTTTTAGTTGTTATTGCAGTTGCATTTTCATTTGCTGCAGCATGTGCAATTGCAGTTGCAGTTGCAAATTTATGTGCAATAGTCGGTGGATTTGTATTAGCAATTCAGTTGCATTAATTGTTCAAAGTGCAGTTGCCGGGGAAAATGCATTTTCTGTAGCAATTCCATTTACAGGTGCAGTTGCTGCTGTTATTGCAGTTAAAGTTGCATATGCTGAAGCATGTTTTGTTGCATTTGTATTTTGTTTCTATGTGCAGTTGCAGGTGAAAATGCAGTTGCAGTATCAGTTTTTTTTGCAGTTGTAGGGGCAGTTGCAGTTGAAGTTGCAGTTTTAGTTGCATGTGCAGTAGCAGGTGCATGTGCAGTAGCAGATGCATGTTCAGTTGAGTTTGCAGTTGCAGATGCAAATAGAGTGTCAGTACTAGTTACATTTGCAGTAGCATGTGCTATTGCAGTATTAGTTTCCTAGTATTTTTACAAATAGAAATGCAACTGCAGATGCAACTGCAACTGCTACTGCACATGCATCTGCAGCTGTAACTGTATATGCAACGGCATCTGCTACTGCAACAGCACATGCAACTGCAAATATACATGAAAATGTTACTGACTTAGCAACTGCACATGCAACAGCAACTGCACATAAAACTTCTACTGCACTTGCAACTAAAAAAAACTTTTTCGTTATTATATATTTTTTTACATTTTTATCTAAGCATTTAACTGCACCAGCAGCAACAGCAGCTACAGCAACTAGACATGCATTGTTGCGTATCCTACGCTACAAGATAGTAGTGCAAGCGTCAGCGCGTGTACGGCCCTGCTAAAGCGTAAGAAACGTGCGACAATGCAGCATTTTTGTTTTAGTGGTAATTGAGGGTGTGCTTTGATTTTTGAAAGAGCTTCTTCTTTCTTCAAGCTCGCGCTTTTTTACCACATTTATTACGCTAAACGTATGTATCGATAGCTGCGTTATCATCCGGCTTCTCGGTGATTGGTTCAGCTTTGCATCGCATTTTCCTATACAGCCAGGCGCGTTCTCGCGCTTAGCATCATTCACTATTCTTTAATTGAACATACGTCATTCGACATTTCCCTTCTGACATTAAAAAGCTAAGACCTGCGAGAAAACTACATCAAAGAAAATTATTGTATTGCGCAGCATTACATCATCTAAGTTCTACCAGCGACAAATAACAAAAGCGGTCCTGCACCTAGCCAAAATTGTTTCGAGTATGTACGGATTCTTCATATAAATTTAAACCCAGAAATTTGAACCAAAAAGCATTTTTCTGACGAGCTAAATAATACGTACATTTTAGTACTGGCTAGGCATAAAAGTACTGGTTTTATTTGTATTTTATTTTCCTATTCTTCTTTATATCAAGAAACCATCTCGATTTCACCTATGATAGCATTTCTTATTCAAGACAAAACCCGCTGGAGTAGCGATTTGGCCGTCGGTTGAACATGTATCTTTAACTGATTATAAAACTGCAACTACAATAGCTACTGCTACTGCAATTTCAAATGCGACAGCAAGTGCACATGCAACTTTACCTGCATATGCCACTGCTACTGATTCTGCAACTGCACTTCCTACTGCAACCGCATATAAAAATGCACATGCTACTTTAACTGCAACTTTAATTGCACATGAACTGCAACAGCACATGTAACTGCACGTGCAATTGTAACTATACATAAAAACGCAACTGTACATGCGACTGCTCATGCAACTGCATAATGAGCTTAAACTGCACATGCAACTGCACAATGAGCTTAAACTGCACGTGCAACTGCAACTACACCGGCATCTAATACTGACCATGCAACTGCAAGGGCAACTGCAAATACACATGCAACTGCAAATACACATGCCACTGCAGATTTAACTTTAACTGAAATTCCACATGCATCTGTAACTGTACCTGCAACTGCACATGCATCTTTAAGTGCACATGTAGATGCAACAGCAACTGCAACTACGACGTAAACTGCAACTTTACTTTTAACAGCCCATACAACAGCAACAAAATATTCACACGCAAGAGTAACTGCATCTAAAACTGCCACTGCAACTGCAAATGTAACTGCACATGCCACTGCAACTGCACATGCAATAGCAAATGCTTATGCGTTTGCAACTAAAACTGCAAAAGCTCCTGCAATTGCTACTGCTCATCCAACTAAAACTGCACATGCTACTTCAACTGTCACTGCACATACAACAGCATCTGCCACTGCATATGCAATTGCAACTGCACATGCAACTGCAAATGTTGCTGTACGTTCAACTGCACATGCTACTATAAATGCAACGCAAACTGCAACTACCCCTGCGAATGTACCTGCAACGGCGCCTACAACTTTACATGGAAGATTAACTGAACATGCAACGGCAACTGCACAGGCAACTGTATATGCATCTGCAATTTTACAGGCAACAGTATCTGCAATCGCAACTGCAACAGAAAAAGCAATCGCACATGCAGCTGCAACTGCAAACGTAAGCAAAGCTGCGCATTAAACTACACTCGCAACCGCAAAAGCACATGCAACAGCAACTACACATTTAACTGCAACTGCAACTGAAACTGCACATTATTCTTTACCTGCACATTCAATTACAGAAAGAGAAAAAATCGTTCTATTACAACTATTTTAGTTTACTTTACGTGTAGAATTCGATTCTTTTTCGACAAAAATCGATTGTAGTTACCCTGAAATCCAATCTGTCTTGTTTCTAATAGCACATTTTTCACCGTCCGTGAAAATTTTTCAATATATTTAAAAGAAATTTTGCTTCTTTCCGGATTAAATCTTAGTTGTAAACTATCAAATTTATAAAGAAGTGCTATTTAACAGAAGTAATGAAACGTTTGCTTTCAAGCTTTGAAGTGTATACTTACGAATATAAATATTACGTCTGAAGAAATTAGGCTGATATCATTGATATTCCGTCCACTGCAGTCCAAGAAAGAGAAAAAATCATTCTAATAAAACTATTTTGGTTTACTTTACTTGTAGAATACATTGTATTTTCGACGAAAGTCGATTGTAGTTAATCTTACATCAAATCCGTTTAGTTTCTAATAGCACATTTTTCACTGTCTCTAAAAATTTTTTAATTAATTTAAAAGAAAATTTTGCTGCTTATTGGATTGAATCTTAGTGGGAAACTATCAGATTTCTACAAAAGTGCTAATTAACAGAAGTTATAAAACGTTTGCTTTCAAGCTTTGAAGCGTATCCTTATGAATATAAATATTAAGTATGAAAAAATTTATCTGATATCATTGATATTCCAAGAAAAAATAAGTCCAAGAAACAGTAAAAATCATTCTATTACAACTATTTTGGTTTACTTTACGTGTAGAGATCAATTCTTTTTCGACGAATGCGAGGGAGACAATAAACCAACTACTTTCTATTTTTTTCTTCAGAAGCGAGAATTTTTCGTTTTGACGATCGAGTGTCGAGCGTTCTGTGTATCTATATGTTTCTGTCAAAGCCGGAAATCAGGCATTACTAGTAAGTCTTTGGCATTACTAAGAATATGAAGAGCCTTAGGACGAAGTCGGAAATTGAAAAATTCTTTCAATTTTTCCGAGGCATTGAACATAATACTTTGATATTATATAGAACATTAAATTACTATTACTATTTTAAACAACGTTTAAAATAATACATCCTGAAGCATAAGCTTGACGCAGACTACCCCTTCCCCCTAACAAACAACCCGCTAATCGCTCCCATACACATACACAAAAACGAGCATAATGGGGGTTGTTGAGACTGTTTTGTCCCTATAACGGAAAATCTGTATTCTTTGTCCTTTATCGTATCGGAAGATAAGCGGGTTTAAAATGAAATGTTTTATACTTGCATTTTATTAAAAATCATTCGAAGAGCATACTTAAAAACAAATATTCTTATAACTAATGAAACACCTTTACTGCTCCGTGAATTCTTGTGTGCGGGTATTTATACGTGGGTTTATAAGACTGTGCGCACTTGTAGAGATTGGAACTTATTCTACACCAGTGTGTTCTTATATGGGGCCCACTGTTAATTATCGCAGGTGAAGAATATATTATATTTAGACAGATATTCGTAGAAATGTGCACGGAAAATCTTTATCTTTTGTTCTTTATCGTATCAGATGATTAGCGGGTTTAGAACGAAATGTTTTATACATGCATTTTATTGAAAATCATTCTAAAATTTGGTAAAAAAAATCAAAGTTTTTCTCATAAATTAAAATCCTTTAATGAAGCACTTGTGCTATTATTAAACAGTAAAAATTTCATCCAAATCCATCAAGTGGTAGATTTCCTACGACAATTAGTGATGTTTAGCTTAACAATTGGCCCACGATAAGGCTTCAAAAAACTTTGTAGAGCTAAAATTTTACTAAAAGATGGTCATAGTTACTGTAGTGCGATCTGCAGCCGGTGTGATTAACTATAGCTTTCTGATACCAGTTAATTATTGCGAAAAAGTATAGCCAGCAAATCGACCAAATGTACCGAAAACTGCGACGTATGTGTCCGGTATTATTGAATAGTTTGGGCCTAATTTCTCCTCATTACAACGCACGACTGCACACTTCAATGATAACGAAAAGAAAGCTGCTTCAACTGAAAACTCTCAATAATCCATTCTCTATAAAACTCTCAAAGATCCATCATACTCGCTGGACTTTTGCTTATTAACTACCACATTTTCAAACATGTATACAACTTCCTACGCGAGAAAGGCTTTAAAAACCAGGCCGACGTAAATAACGTCGTTAATGATTTTATCGCCCCTAGAACTCTGAAATTTTACGTTACCTGCATAAATAAGCTGGTTTCTCGTTGGCAAAAATTTATTAATAAAAAAAGTTCGAATTTTGATTTGTAAAGCAATGTTTGAAGCGTGTTATATCGTTTTAAAGTAGCTATTATGAGACGTCAATTACTTTGCACTAACCTAATATTATATAAAATATAATCTTTATTTTCCTCGTTATTTTCTGAAGCTTTATGCGAATAATAACACCAAATGTCTATATGTTTACTTCTAGTTAAGAGAATTCAATCCTTATATAAAATGTAATTACACTTTAAGGACTTATATACGTCCAGGATTTTTAAGAAATCGATTTTTTTCCAGATTGTTGTTCTCTACGGGTTTAGGCTTATATCTGTACAAGCTGATTGCAAAAATTCCCCATAAATCAAAAGTTATGATAGAAATTGTGACTGCCTGACAAGAGTTTGGTACGCGCAGATAGCCGTCCTTTCTTTGAGACACTTAAAATTTTAAACGCGTTTTTCTCGAAACTACTTTTTCCACTACGGTCGACATGAAAACTCATAGTTTTTAATATTTTGCAATACGATTTTTTTAAATGTTTAAAATCGTTTCCTCTACAGTTGTTAAGACGGATTTTGGATATTTTGATTTAAAAATTTTATGAAAATAATTATAAGTTAAAATTTATGATGTAAAACGCACACTTTATTTTAAACTGTCATAAATTGGTAAATTTTCCAAGACTCAAAATTTCGCCTCGACAGCTACACTACTGCTACAACTACTCTACTACTACAATATTATTTTACAAGAGCTTTTTTAAATTTTGTACATCGATCTACATTTACTAGAGATATGATACCGACCGTAGAGTTACTTTTTTTTCTTAGTGTTGTGAATCACGTGATTTTTTATATAGTAATTTTTTTTATATAGTAATTTTTGTAAAAATAAAGTGGAATAAAATTTTTTTTTTAGTTTAAATACCAATAAACAATGTGTACTATTTATTTTTATTAATTTCTACTGTTATTCCTCTCTACTACATATATAAAAAATTTGTTTCTTTTAGCGCATTTTTGGTGCTGCTAGACGTACGTAAGGCCTTAACAGTACATGACTTACAAAGATTACTAGATCTCCAAAGTTCCCTAGAAGGTTTCCTAAGATGCATAATAAAATAATCAAATAGGTTTTTGAACACAAATGTTTTTTTTTTCTTTTATTAACTCCATACATCTTTACAATTTGTTCGTAGACATTTGGTAAATTGTTACATATGTGAAAAAAGATAGCACGTGGATGGTTTCTTTAATTAGATAGCGTCGCTATTGTCATTTATTTCATTTAGAATTAATTTTTACCAGATCTCCTGAGTGGATTCTTTTAAGACTTCTAGGTATATATTGGTTGTAGTTATCGTTAGCTAGCGGGTTTATTTTGTATCTATAGGTTGACTTGGTTATTTCTTTTTCTATCGTGGGAATATTTAAGTCTTTTCTTATCTCTTTGTTACGTACGTACCATGGAGCATTCACGATTGTGCGTAGAGTTATGGATTGTTGAGCTTCGAGCTCGGCAATGTGACTTTCCGCTGCTATACCCCATAGCGGTAATCCACATGTCCAGATTGGTTTTATTATTGTTTTGTAGGTAATTAGTTTGTTCTCTATGCTACGTTTCGATTTTTTACCAGTTAGCCAAGCCATTTGTCTCCTTTCTAAACGAATTTGTTCAATTTTGGCATTTATATGCTTTTTCGGTATTTTGTTTTTCCTCAGTGTAAACGTGATATGTTTACACTTAGTAGAGTTTATCTTTTATCTTTTATTTTTACGTCAAATGTTGTGTCAGAAAGGTAAGATTTGAGGAGTTTGTAATACGAGTGTGGAAAGTATTTATTGATTATTTGTAATAATCCGTGATGCCACACTATATCGAAAGCTTTTTCTTCATCCATGAAGACAGCGGAACAGTACTCTTTATTTTCTAAATCTGTGATTATCGTATTAGTTAGTCTGTGAACTTGTTCAACAGTAGAGTGTTTGTTTCAGAATGCAAATTGGTAGTCAGGAATTAGGTTTTTGTCGAAAATTACTCGTTTCATTCTTTTGTATATTATTTTTTCTAGGAGTTTGGATAGTAGAGGTAAGAGCGATATCTGTTTATAAGAATTTACATCATGCGGATCTTTTTTAAGTTTAGGGAGCATCATAATTCCCTCGATTTCCCAAGTACTTGGGAAGTAATGGACACGTAATATTGCGTTAAATAATATTGTTAACATCTTTATTACTTTAGGTGGCAGTTCTTTTAGTATTCTACCATTTATTAGATCGTAACCTGGCGCCTTTCTTATTATCATTTGTAATATTAGCATTTTTATTTCTTCAACTGTTTTGTTATTAATATTTTCATCCGATTTTGTTTTGCTTCCGAAATTGTTTACGTTAGTGTCTGTGTATGTTTGGGTATTCAGGTTGTGTGCTGTGAATATGTTTGCTAGGTTCGTTGCGAAAATTACTTCTTGTTTTTCTGTGCTTTTCGCCCATAAGCTGTCAAGATTTCGTATGGCTGAAATTGATTTTACTAGTCTTTTAAATCTATTTGTTGTTTTTTCAGAGAGAGAGTAGTTAGTATTTTTACGTCTGAACTGACGAAATAGATTTAAGTTGTACGTGCTAAGCCTGTTTCGGCAAACCGGCG